ATCGTCGGGGCAGAAATAAATGTCAGCCTTGAGGGGTAAGTATAAGGGTCGGACAGAACTGGCCTGCACGCGGTATTGTATACGGGATTTAGGACTGATATCTTCAAGGCAGGATTGACGCGCCGGATGCCATTATTCGCGTCAAAGAGGCCAGACGAGAGGAACCCAGATGCGATCGGCCACAGTACACTTCGAGCCCAGCCGAGGAGTGGGGAAGGGTGATACGACCAAACTACTAGTATACGGCGAATACTGAGGGTTCCGCCGTGAGCGTCGACAGACCGCATGAGGTCGAAATGCGCGAGATGACATCAAGAATCGCGAAAATTTTTGCTATGGGGGAGGAGTAACAGTCGGAGATTTAGAAACCAATTCAAATCAGGGTTTCTAATGATATAAATTAGGATTTTCACTTGATCTACCACTAAATCCCAGGAGGACCCTTCTCGAGGTCAAGAAGCTGAGTGTTCGGGAATGAGACCGTTAAAAGTGCCATAAAAACTTTCCGGTATAAGATGTTTGCGTAGGTTTGACTTGAATACCGGTAAATTAGGCGATGACCTAATGTCTGGCGAAAGGATATTCCAACGGAAGGCATATTTAAAAGCAAAGAAGAGGGAGCGTTTGGATGGAGTGCAAACAGGTCCCGAGATTCCCATAGAGGAGTTGCGCGTGGCAAAAGGCCGACCTCTCTGAATGAGTGTCGGTAGAATAGAAAAGAATAGGTTTATTATAGCGCCCCTTGGGCACTGTCAGTCTCCCCTGAACTGAGAAAAAGACCTAAGGCAAACTCATCCATTTGGACTGTACTTTGACTCCATTTGTTTTGAGTGTCTGTTTAGCCAATAGAGCACGAAGGTAAAGTTTGTTTCAAGCTAAAAACCTGAGTCCCAAGGCAGAGAAATCGCAAAAGTTTTAAAAAGGAACGATATGTACAATATAAAAACTGAAGTAGTAGTGAAAATGTGATTCCCAGGTGGCATGTCCCCGCTAAGGCTCCCTCTTGTTTTGAAAAACTGAAGTGGTCAGTTTGGTAGTTTTTGTGGGCATGAATAATAGGCCCATCACGACAATTGAAGGACTTTGATATCGGCCCGACTTTGAAATTGTTTTCGAGTTGAATAAATGTGGGTGTCCTCTAGTTGCCGCTTGACAGTCTATCCGGCCAACTGCTACAGGGCGGTCGCACATTTCGTTCGCGCTTTTTAGGAGGTTTGCCATATTTGTCTGGACTAAGAGCTGGAAAAGATGAATATATATGCATCAAGGGTAAGGAAAATTCAATGGTAAGCCACAATCAAATCTGTCAAAACAATATTGAATCACGTCTAATAAAACTAATTTTTTATTTAATGCCCGTTTGCAGGCATTGTCAGGGAAGCGTTAAACACAAATCCGGCCAGCAGTGAAAAAAACTTCTGTGGAAAAGGAATAAAAATAAAGCTGATGGTGGTTTTTATGGTTTGGAGGGTTCAGAAGAAAAAACTGCTGGTGGCAAACTTTCGACTGTCAAGAAGGGAGGGAGGGGTTGCACGGTATCGGAGATTATCGGACGTCAATCCCTTTCATGAAGTTGGGGATAGTCAAAGTAGAGGCGTTGAGGAACAGCTGACGATGTTGGCCAAATAAATTGTCCCTGGTGAGAACGGCCACAGTGGTCAGAGACCACAAAGGCCATCGCTACGGCAGAGTCGATCAGTGGATTTAGCACCCAAGATGTGTGGGAAATTCTCACAAACTCTCGACCGTCAAGAAGGGGGTAATTGCACGGTATCGGAGATTATCAGACGCCAATTCCTTTAATGAAGTTGGGGAGAGTCAAAATAGAGGCATTGAAGAACAGTTGTCGTTGTTGGCCAACGAAACTGTCCCCTGTGAGACCGGCCATAATATTTAGAGGCCACAAACGCCATTGCTATGGTAGAGTCGATCAGGGGATTCAGAACCCAAAATTTGTGGGACCTTTTCTGAATGCAAAAATCGAGTGATAGTTCTCTTAAATAAAGGATAATTTTGCAAATTTCTCACACGCACGGGTAGTTTATTCCAAATAGCAATTGCATTTACAGGAAAGAACCGACGATATGTAACAGTACGTGTCAGAGGAAAAAATGAAAAGACCTCACGGTGACTGTTACGTCGTGGGTGGATATGATGTCCTAAAGAGATGAGTGGGTTAAATGTGTGATTATATAAGAGTTTAAAAAGCAAAATAGTCCCTTTTGTAATCTACGAAACCATAAAGGATGAAGGCCTGTAAGCCGGCAACGTTCTTGGTAAGATGGATGTCGGTGTTCCGGGGTTAAAACTATCTTGTTAAAAAGTGTTGAACGGATTCTATTTTCTTCCGCACAGTAGCACGCATGAGGCTAAATAAAAACGAACCGTATTCCAGACCAGGTCTAACGTATATGTTGAAAAGGCGCATTCTAATGTCCCTAGTTTTAAAGTTTCGGAGGATAAACCCGATCGTTCTACGTGCTTTGGAGACTATTAAGGCACAGTGCTCCGAGAGATTGAGACTCTTGGAGTATGATATGCCCAGATCCTTAATAACCCAGGCACATTTATTGCGTGACCGTCAATACTTAGTTGAGATTGGCGGTCGTCGCCAACCACCATGACTGAGCACTTATGCCAAGAAAGAGAAAGGCGCCATGTGCGGCATTACTGGGCGCAAGCCCGTAGGTCGATCTTTAGGAGTTCAAGCATGATGTCACGATCTGCCGGCTTATATCGATATGCAACCTTAAGATCATCGGCATACATGAAAGGCTTTCCATTCGGAAATAAATCGGGTACATCATTAACGAAAAGGCAAAATAAAAGCGGGCCGAGTACACTACCCTGAATGACTCCACTCCTCATATCGGTCTTGTGAATGTGGCATTGTAGGAGTAATGACTGACAGTTTACTATGATCGAATATAGTTGTATATATGTGTAATATGACCTCAGTATAGACTTACGCACAACTAACATGCAGGGATTTATCGAAAAGGCTGTTATTATTGGCTTTTTAAGGGATATTTAATGTCAGATAACATAGCTCGTGGAGACAACAAAGGGAGGAAAAAAAGAATATTACTATCTGTTCTATAGGCGAATGACATTACCGACAAAGACAAGGGAGACTGGAATGGCCATTTCTGGTTTATTAGCCGTCGTCAGCCGGGGTGTAGGGGTGTCAGCGGTGGGTTCATGTGAAGGTCGTAGTGGTCGCTCACTTGCTTGCAGGTGAGACTACGCCTAGCGTCCACTTGCTGGCACTCAAATCTCACCTGTGGCTCCACGTAGCTGCGCTCTGCTCAGCGGCCACACCCCGGGCAACCGTCTCTACCGGCGGGCTAAACCAGGTGAGGGCGGTTACTCCCTGTGCGCGTTGTGCCGCGTGCACAGGTGACTGCGGACTCCGTGGACGGTTGGTCGGATGGAACACCGCGTCGGCGCCGTCGTGACGAGACTCTGTCTGACACACCGCTGGTCAGCCGGTTGGTGGTGGAACGTCGCATCGGCATCGTCTAGACGAGGCTCAGCCTGGTACGCCGTTGATCAGCCGGTGGGATGGATCTCCGAATGGGCACCGTCGACACGCGCCCATCTGGTGCACCGTAGGAGACCGCAGGCTTGCGGCAATGCCGTAAGCCATTGGCAAATTCGAGTCGTTCCTCCACTGCCAAAAAACTCGTGGCCCACAGTGGAGTTCGGCCGCGCCGGCACATCAAGCAGCCCCTATTCAGGGGTCAGGGCACTGCTTCCTTCGGGGGGGCCTGGAAAAGCTGGCCTAAAAATTGCTGGGGAACCACGTCGT